TCACCGGAATCTTTGTATCTCAATGCCGGCATGGCCATTGTCTGGCAATTTGTGACATGGTCCGCAGTGGCAAGCTGTACGTCCTGTCCTGCATCTGATCAGCTGGTTTCATACTGATACTGCTTGTCAAGGATGAAATATGCCTTAGCGTATGCCCATAGGCTCATGGAGATCTACGGGTACTGCCTCAAGATCGCCTAAGATGTTGCACGCACTTTCTTCAAAATACTCTTACACAGCTCTTTGGGGCCTCGTGCCACTTCACTCAAGATCAGCGGTGTTGTCCCAGCATTCCATGGCCACAGCCACGACCGTGCCTGCCAGGTCGATTGGCACCCTCTCTACCAGGAGGGCGTTGGCAAGGAAGACTTGTAGGGTTGTGAACTCGTCTTCTTGGAATGGAATGCACTTGCAACAGGCCCCCAGCTCTCAACGGTGTTCCATTGGCATCAGGCGATCAAACAATTCTTTGGCTTCTGGAGCAAGCAGAAGCATGCAGAGTCTGGTACGTTTTCCCGAGTTTGTGAGGCTGCCACTCATGCACCTATCCTCAGGGAAATTCATCCTCCATAACTATCAACAAGCTCTGGATACCATCAAGACCGACACTGAGACCCTCGACCTGCTTTGCCAGCAGCTGGGTGTTGGGCCAGCACACTTCAAACGGTTTCTGCAGGAAGAACGCACGTACTTCAAAAGCTGCAAGAGCGAACCACCTGAAGTCACCGCTGAACTTGATTACATGGACTCCCTCGTGGGTCTCCAGGTTGCCGGGTACATTTACATCTAGCTGTCAAACATGTCTTTCTGACGGCAATTAGACTGAGTGCCATCGCGGCTAAGGCTGCCACGGAGAAGCTCGATACCTTCATTCATCTCTATGTCAACAACCCGCAGGCGACTAAGAAAAAACAGCAGCAAGTCAGCTCTGTGCGCACGAAAGTAAGCACAACTCAAGCACAGTGGGAGACTGTTCACAAAGAGGTACTGCAGCGGGAAGAAGAGCTCAATATAGTAGAGTGATGGAAGCCTGGCAATGCCAAGTATGACGAGATGTCTGAGAACTGGGCCAACACAAGTACCGACTTGCATTGGATAACCTGGAACGGTTAGTTGTGCAACACCTCTTTGAGCTGACAAAGTTGCAACTCAGTGGCACCAGTGTGTCTCATAGCTCCTCCTCTCTTGTCAATCTTATGCCCTCCCCCTAGGCTATAAATTGCGCGAGAAGATTGGCAAAGCGTTGAAAGCACGTGCAGATGCCATCAAAAAGGCGCTCACCAAATACAATTTGCGCGCTGCGGAACTTTGGCCTCCATGGTAAGAACTTCTCTGGTTGGATATCCTGGATATGTCGACCCTTGCAGACTTGGACATTCTCCGAGACACATGGCAGGACATCCGCGCGCAGCCTTGGGCCAAGCCTTCTCACAGACGCGCTATGAACTTATACTTCAACATCAAGGGTGCACGCGAGGAGATCTTCCGTCTCAATGTCGAGATACCCCGGCTTTTCACCTTCTTGCTTGACGAACACACTGACTATCAGGCTGCCATCGCTGGGTGCTCCAGTAATGATGCGCCTCTCCCTCACAAGCTTTGTCAGCGTTGGAAGTATCAGGAGCTCGTGAGCACACACATTGTCAGACACCTCGTTCAAGCGTCCAGACTCCTGGGATTCTCTGGTAAGATTGAGGCAGGCCGATGTCTTGGGAGAACGCCTCATGAAGGAAGTGTCCCCTTGCCACGCTGGGCCACGTTGGATCTGTGGGTGGAGGCGGAGGCTGGTGAGGCAGAGAATCTTAGTTGTATACCTGGCGCTGAGACTGAGGGTGAGGAGGAGGTCTTCGTGGACCCTGTGAGAACTTGGACGAGCCAGCATAGGTTTTGTGTCATACGTACTTGGACAGTATTGCACTGCATTCAGCTACTATCACCATATATCATTCCTGGGTAGTGGTGGAACATGGACCTTGCGTGTGGCCTATGTAAATCCAACCCATCACTGAACAGCGGACAATGACGGAGAGCGGTGACCTGGTGTACCTGGCGATTCATGTCAATACTAGATAGAACCATCCCATGCTGATACATTGGCACACTAGTACACTTGTGAGCTCAGTTTGACAGGACTGAGCGAGGATATTGACATCTGTTGCCTGCCACACAGACAAGATATTGGTTCAATGCCGGGAGTATGCACACACTGTCCTGCATAGGGTTCGAGACTGAGTAGGCTCCAACCATGCTAGTAAGGAGAATGTTACTCAGCAACCAGCTTCATATCTTGGCTACATCCCAGCTCGGTACAGTAATGTCTTCACTCCTACAAGAAAGAGTTGTCCGTTAAACTAAGACTATGCAGTACTTTGTGTCAGTGCAGCGCTCGGTGTATGTCTGCAAGTGAGGCTGACAGCACAGCTTGCCGCATGGACGGCGTATCTCCCACTCGTCTGTTATCGAACGCCCACGTTCTGTGTACTGTCATCATCTGACTTCTCTTCTCGACGACCCGGGCAAGGAATACTATGCATGTAGTTGCTTCACGGAAAGTACGTTCATATGTACTCTGCTTTCCCTTTCTAGCTTGTGGGCGGATGGCCTCGAGCCCATGGAAGGGGTGTTGATGTTGAGAAGGCGCTCCAACAGAGCACATAAATGACTGGGCATCCGCTATTCCCCTCCCTCAAGCTACCCTTGCCCTTTCTTTGCTTCAGTCCAGATGGCAGGCCAAGCCAGCAGAACTCCCTTCATTAACACCACGTTCAGTCCAGCTGGAACTCGGCAGGTGGCTGACCACCTCCTCCAGGATGCTGCTTTTGCCAGCAATGAGTGCAGGGCAAAGGCAAAGGCAATTGCCTACTTCGCCTCAGGGGCTCCCGACGATGGCCAGCACGACTATGCTGACAAACTCTACCCCCTGCACCGCTCATTCCAACACGGGTTTACGGAGGAGCAAAAGCATATTTGGAGTGATGCTTGTCAGGACTATCTGGACGTGATAATGGATTTGGTATGTCTCGTATGCTGTCAAGTCTCTACCTTCTCTTATCTTGTTCTAGGCTACCACCTGGGATCGTTTCACAACCGGGTTGACTTGGATGTTCCACTCTGATGCGACCCGCCACCCAAATGCTCCCATCGAGCCGACTGAGGCGACCGTCCACGTCTATGCACCACCATCTATAACCAACTCCATTCCTTCCGCCCCTTCACCCTTGCCGCCACTGTTCAACTGTTTGTGGAGGGTGCTGTCCCCGACACGATGAAGTGGTGGGATATCCTGACAAATAAAAGAGCATGGTCCAAGGGAGGACAGCACCCTGATTGGCTTCCACCATTGCCTAGCCTCCTACCCACAAGTCCTAGCACTCACTTCATCTTCCGCAGCCGCCCCACTGCCAGATTAGAGCCTCTCATTCAAGACTATCTTGCCACTTAGACTGCTTATGTCTGGAGTGTTTATGCTCCTCCACCGAGGACCACACCTGCCTTCCCTGCCTCTACGCCTCCCCTTCCTGCAGATGCGCCTGCAAAGACCACAGATGCACCTGTCTTTTTGAGTCCCCCCTTCTGTGGCTCCAGCTCCGTCAACGCCAGCGGCTGAGACGCCAACAAAAGTGGCCCTCTCATATTGTGCACAGGAGAAGGCACCCGCAACGGGTGCATTGCCACTGCAGTCCCTCTTCGGGAACAATGGTGATCCATACGCTGAGACCGATATGTTGGAGCTGCTAAATCATTCATTTGAATCCTTTGACTACATCAATCAGATCCACGCCCTGGAGACTACAATCCGTCAACTTCAAGTCAACTCCTTTAATCAAGAGCAGGAGCTTCAATGTCTGAGGGAAGAAGTTGTCGGATTGCTGAACGAGAACAGCAAGCTGAAGGAAGAAAATGTGATGTTGGTGCCCAGTACGTGGCTCATCTCATCGCAAGGAGAATTGTTGCTCATGCATCTACAGAGATATTTGGCTCGCGGCTCGCGACCATTGCCAAGCCCGTCCAGCAGGCGGCACGGCCTCCAATCCTCCATGACCCCTCAACCCCGCTGAATGATGCTAGTGACGTCGACGTGGTATCGTTAAGCTCTGTATTCTCAGCCACTTCCGTGACTGCTTCCACACAATCTCATGCGCAACCCGAAGCCTCCTCGAGGACGTCAACACCCAATAGCCCCAACGCCAGCTGTGGCCAATCCCAGTACGATTAGGTTCTGCGTGTGACGGTGCAAGGACCGTCGTGTCCTGCATCAGCAGCAATCGTGTGTTCTGTGACCATGGAGTTGGGTGTGCCCTTCCATATTGTCCATCAACCCACATCACCATCTCGGCACCACCGCATCACCCCGTTCGGGTCAGCACCACGTCGCATATTGTCCCTGTACAACTTCGATGCGACATATCACAGGGGCCGGTGGGAGATGGAGGAGAATGTCCTCGACAATGAGTGGCCTGCAGCTGTCCGGCTGCTGCTTGGAACCCCCGATGACAAGGTCATTGCTGCCGTAGTCCAGGCAATGATGATGGACTCCATCCGTTAACAGTGGTAACTCAATACCCTTCTTGAGATTCCGGCAGACATCCCCTCAAAAATAGTGTGTTTGTGCCCATTCATATCGCACTGTGTTGGTTCTGCTAACCTTTTTCATCTATGTGATTACTTGTGTTGTATCCTCACCGTGCTCCTCAACCTCCGTGCTTGTGATCTGCATGCCTCTCTGACTGCCCTGACTGTGCGCTGTCTGTTGTCCCAAATAGGAGCAACCATGTTGTCCTGGTTCCATAAGAATGCAAGTCATGCATATGCTGTTCTGACTGTGAGCTTGTCCTTTCTCCCCCAGCTCCTCATAATGTGCAAGCTTGCTGAGACTCGCTGATGGGGGTTCCAACCATTGAGTTGCGAACTGGTTCTGTCTGCATTGCGTTGTATTATAATTGTGTTGCAAAAAAGGTTGAACCCCCGGACATCTAGCAATCATGGCTAGAGTTGACTACAGCACAATAGCTCAATGGTATAGAGCACCACAGCGCCTTGGGAGGTCGCGGGTTCGAATCCCACTTGTGCGCTTTTCCTGTTGTCAGCCACTCTCTGGTCTCATCATCGCGCACTCAACAAACACGTCGAGAGAGAGGGTGTTCGTACCGCCATTGCCTTGCAACATGTCAATGGCCAACATCAACCAGACCGTGTCCCCATTGTCCCCTCCAGGGACAACCCCATGTTTCTCACTGTGCCTGATACTGAGCCTCTTTCGCCCTTCACAGTGCCCATTGTATCGACTCAGAGAGTCCCCATCACTCTGTCTACCACGGCGGGTGTGTCGCCCATGGCCCCTGGCAATCTCAATGTGGTTCCCATTGCATTGCCCATGGAAGGCTATCTCGTGTCATCCACCATGCCCTCTGCACCCCTTGCCGCCCCCTCCGCATCGTCCACCATTCCCTCCATGTCCCTTGCCGCCCCCGCCATGTCCACTGGCATTCCCCCCATGTTCCCTACCATCCTTGCAGTGTCATCGGCTGTCCCTGCCACATCTGCTGTCATTGCAGCCACATCCTCTACCATTGCCACCACATTCCCTACCATCTCCGCCGTGTCCCCTGCTGCCACTATCACGTCCTCTGCAGTCTATGCCGTAACCTTTGTGGTTCCCACTATGTTCTCTGCAGTCCCTGCCATGTCCTTCCCCATCCCTGACACGTCCTCTGCCATCTCTGCCATGTCCTCTGCCATCACCGCTACATCCCCTGCTGTCCCTCTTGTGTCCTCTGCCATTGCCACCATGTCACCCTCCAATGTCACCACTATGTCCCCTGCCACCGCCACTGTGGCGTTGACGATGCACAGCACACTTCATGCCGGCAATGATGGGTTGTGATCTACCACAGGGCCTACTATACAACCGGCAGCTGCAGTGAGGCCCACTGTCACCCTCTCGTACAGCCCCACTTCATGAGTCGTTGCGCAACCACTAGCTCCAGCAAAGCACAGGGAGGCACAGAAGATTCCTGCTGCTCAGTATGCTGCAATGAGGGCTGCAAGTCGCAACAAGAAGCAGCAGTTGCAGCAGGAGCTGGACACGTGGTATGACCGTGTTCAGCAATTCACATCCCAGCTATCGGAGAGGTACGGCCATAAGCCCAGCCATTATATGAACCTCCTCTTCTCCGGCAGGGTGAAAATGTAGAAGGAGCAGAAACCCAACACATACAATGCTTAGTTCTATGCCATTGCAAAGGAGATCAACCAGGGTATGTGTGTCTCTTGTGCTCTCATCAATCATGCTGACATCATTGTTACCTTCAGATGCCGAACCAGGTGAAGCTCAACATCCACTCTCTATGCAAAACATAAGGATTGACAACTACCATGCTCTCACAAAGCAAGAGAAGGAGAAGTTGATTGAGCAACTGCAAAACGAGCGGCAGTCCCGAAAGTTCAAAGTTGGGCACCCGGCTCAGTAAACATGTTCGTACTGCCAATATGATGAAAACCGGCCAAGAGATTGAGAAGCTTGTGAGTTCTCCAATGAATACATGTGATCATTGACTGACCGCCCTTGCATACAGCTGTATGCTTTGACAGGTGTTGAAGTGTTTGTTTGCATCGTATGCAACAATCACATGTATCATGCCTCGCCATACTGGTACTTCACCGACCTTTGCCTCGATTGCTTTCTTCGTGCAGCTGCTGTTGTAGTTATGATGTATCATGTACCAAAAATTATTCGGAACTGTTTTACATCATGTACCGAGTGGCCCATGATGCATCACAGTACCTCCGGGAGAGTGCCCGGAAATGCCTAATAAGGTAGGCAGCCCCAGGGCAGGCCTGCTA